AGACCCTTTTCTGATGAAGGGTCTAGGCCCGAAACGTCAGCCTCTCTGCTCCTATGATGCTGCTTGGCCTGCTGTGTTCATCCAGCCCTGCACCTTGTTGTCTCGGATTCACCAGCATCTGCAGTTCCTACTATCTAAGAGACTTTGATATAGCTTTCAGTAAAGACTGAAAAGTTTTCATCTTGTCTCTGGAAAAGGCAAAGCTAAATGAATAGCCTAATACAAATCTTGTGAAGGAACAGGATAAAAGGTAGATGAAAGTGTATTTCCAATTGCAGGAAGTCCACACCCAAGTTATAAACATAACAGTGGTTAATAACTCAAAAAAAAAAAGGGAATTCAAGGGAAACTTCTTTACCCAGAGAGTGGTTAAAAAAAAAAAAAAAGTGAAAATGGAATATTTAAGGCAAATAGCACAAATATGTTTAAGGGGAGGTTGGCAAGTTCGGAGGAAGAAACATGGTGAAGGATATGCTAAATTCAGAAAGATAAGTGATGGTTAAAAAAAGATGTTAACACAAATCATAAACAATAAACAAACATCAATCCAGACACATAGCACTCACATTATAGAAAACACCACAAAAGCCAAGTTACAAAATGTTAGTGCTGGCAAATTCAACCGTGAACTTTTAGCTGGTTAGTTAGTGATCATTAGTGAACAATACCTTCGGACTTCCTAATGTTATATTGATGGGTGTTGAACCTCAAGAAAACTGGTGCAAGGAATTCACCCCACCCCCACCCCCCAAACTCTGCACTTTACTCTCACCCTTAATTCCACGAGCATTTTCTCAATTTCCATTTTGCCTTTAGAACTCAGTAAAATTTAACTTATTTCCTGGCCTTGACTCTGCATGTCTCAGTATGGATGCTGCACTTTGAATGGTTGAAGAGACTCACAGTTGCTTTCTCTACACATACACAGCACAGCTTTCCTTGACAGGGCAGTATCCAAGACAAGATGCTAGTTTAGAGAATATCCCTACTCTACCCTATGAAGCATTTGTAGGCAGTTGGCAGCAAGGTAAATGGCAAATTTCTTCACCATTGAGAGTGAAATCCAGGCCATTAATCTACACAATAAACAATGAAGCAAATCATCCTCTTAATTTTGAGCCACTCTGCATTACGAAGCTTCCTCAAGAATTCAAATCTGGTCATGATTCAGTTTCCTTCGTATCTCTAGGAATTCATTTCAGGATGTTTGTGTAAATTTGGGGCTCTCCATTAGTGAAAGTTCTAGGAACAAATGTTGGATCAAATTGAAAGAACTTTTCCCAATATGCTGATAATTATTTCACCGCCTAATCTGATCAGGTGGGGTAGTAAACAATATCCACCTGGAATGGTAACCCAGCAAGTCAAAAAAAGAAAGAAACTTTACTTCCATTTAGTAAAAAGATGCTTGCACACCAATTTTTATTTTGCAAGCATTTTAAAGCTACAATGTACCTAATATCAAAAATGCATGTTTCAGAACATCAACATTTTCAGTGATGTGGATTAAGATTTATGAAATTTAAGTAATATTATTCTTCTTGGGGAAAATACCCCACAATTTTGCTTTGCATACTCAAGACTAAGAATATATGCTTTAAAATATGCCTTTAAAACATTTCACAGACTTGACAAATACAAAACAACCTGCAGTCTACTTTAAACAAACAGAAGTGTAATAAGCAGTGGTGAAAAACAAGCAGAGGGAAATCCAAGCACAGTAAATTTTAAAAAGTACTCAAATTTATAATGGTTAAATCTTTTAATCGATGTTTGATACCAATGTAAGGAGATTAATCTAGTGACAGAATAAAGATTCACCTCAATATCACAACCTATAGAGAAAGATTTGGGTTTGCATAGTTTAATTGTGAGGATTATGGGAAAAAAAGCTACTTATGGAAAATATTTGAAGCTTTTCTAAATTTGGGCATTTCAAGGTGCTGTGCTCCATTACTGCTTTGGTAGACTATACAGTTCTTATACCATACAGATGATATATGAACACAGACAGTTAAAACAAACACATGAGGAAAGTTCAATTTTCAGTTCAAACAGCATGGTTGCACACAAGTTTTGTATTAGCCAAGGGTCATATTTTCAAAAGATTCCAAAAGCTGCACTTCTTTTCAATTTGAAGCCACAGAGTGTACTGCCTGCATTCCTTCAGTAAAGTGTTTAAAAAGACTCTGCATTTCATATAGTAAATAAGCTAAACCCAGCAAATAACTGAAACCAATACATTTTCACGAGCACATACCCAAGGGATGGAAAAAGAAAAATAAGAAGTGTCAAGCAGCAGTGTGCAGTTGATAAAATAGACTTTTGTACACTAATCACAACAGGGGATTAGTTATCTGTTACAATTTAACATCATTGTAATGCAACTACATCTGCCAACTTTTAATGAATCTAAACAAAATGTTTAATTCAGTACAATGGCATTTATCCTGTACACTGTAATCAGTGAAGCCCATAATGTTAAAAAAAGAACTGCAGCTCAAATTATAAATCCTCCTATGGTGCACATACACATTTCGTGGAGCCTGGAGACATATACAAAAACAGAAGTATCACGGCTGTTAGATAAATCACCTACCAGCATATAGCTCCACCCAGAAAATACCAGACTCAACATTTTACAGGAATGGGGAAATTATCTTGGAGGCTTAAAAAAAAAACAGGAAAACAAAATACCAGAAGTAAAAGTATCATCCTATTAACCAAAAACATTATTCAATATACACAAACTCATTCCACGAGATCTTAACAGGACGGAAGGTGACCAGTCTGTCCAGGCAGTGTCACGTCTTTGTAACAGATATCCAACTAATTCCACTTATCCTCTCTTCTCTAAAGCCATTTTCAGTGACTCAATTTCTTTTTGAAAGTTACGATACGCATTTTCCACCTAACAAACCACACAAAGTATGATAACTCAACGTGGAAAAAGAATTTTCATCTATCAGTTTTTTTGTAAAGTAGCACAGTTAACAATCTTTGCCAGTGGAAGTCATTTCTTCATTTTTGCTCTATTAGAACTGTTGAGAATTTTGAAAGTCACTTAATTCACCTTTAACATTCCCTGCTTTAAAGAATAATCCCAGCTGTTCTGATCTTTCCACATAGTTGATGCCCCATCCATCTGATAAAACAGAAAACACTGCAAGCGTTCAGGAAGTTAGGCAGTACCTCTGGAGAGGCAAAAACAAAGTTATTGCTGCAGATTGATGACCTGTAGACAGGCTGCATGTTATTAGACATACTTTCACACAAACTTGTTCAGAGATGCTACGACACATTTCTGGAGCAGGTGGGACTTGAATCCAGGCCTCCTGGATCAAAGGTAGGGGCACTACCGTTGTTGCACCACAAGAGCCCTTAACTGACATCTATAAACACATTTCAGGAAATCAGAGCCTTGCTGTCCTTAATTGCCCATGTGTTAACTCTAATCAAAAAAGATATTCTCAGGGCACAAATAGTGAGGAAGTGTTGTTAATTTGATTTTGGCAGTCTTAGGTACTTATTGTAATTTTGCTTTCACATCAGTTTTAGAATGTGAAGTGAAAAAAGTGAACTGATGCCCACAAAATGCAGTTATTTGTCATAAAATACTTCTTCACACCTCTGCACAAACAAGTCCAAATATATGAATTAGGAGCGAGAGTAGACCATTCACCCCCTCTAGCCTGCTCCACTTTAAAACCACAGCTAATGTGATTGTGCACTCAATTCCGCATTCCTGTCTACTCTCAAAAAAAAAATGTTTACAAAAGGTTGAGTTATTTACACCTAACTTGAAATTAATTGTAACTTGGCAAACACATATTTGCTAAAAGGCCTACAGTAACTAAAAAAAAAGTGAAGATTGATACTACACTGCAGTATCAACAGGGACATAGATTTTCAGAAAGCACTTGATAAAAGTGCCACATAATTAAAGGTTATATCTAGATTCCATAGCAAGACATTCCTCTTCATCTAAAGCTCATATAACAAAATGTAAAGTTTGCAATTATAAAATATATATATTCATCTATTAGTATATGTAAATTCATTTCATCCACTACACAGGATTAAAAAGTAAACAGATGCAAGAAACGAAGGGTGGTTGTAAGACTAGAACTTACCTCCTACCACTTACGGGTCAGGTCACTTTCTTGCAGACACTAAATTTTTATAATCTTTATATCTTCAAACATAAGTTCAAATCAATGAGAAATCATTGCATTGAAAAAAAATTATTTAAATCCCTCAAAGAAACAGCTGTTTTCATACCACTTGAAACAACTACAAAAATTCATATCACTCAAAGAAAGACATCCATTATTGCAACACATTCTCTTTCTCCCTCTAAAGAACAGACAACCCATATCAGGTGACAATGAATCAATGATTATGTATGCACATATTTGATCCAATGGGAAGAGCCCAATTACAAGATCTGTTGGCTGCTCATCAAATGAACCCAGTCACAGACAATTCATGAAGACAAAGTTACAATTGCTATTTCTACATTAAACAAGTTTCCTCTTAAATTTAAAGCCTGTCTGATAACCTGTCCATATAAATTGTTTCTTTGTATCTTTTTACAGATTTTTATTAAAATGTTCAAGTTTATATAAAAGTACACCAGTAATTATATGCTCTTAACATTTACATTAATTTCTGTGTTGTCTATGTGGGAAAACTTGTTTAGCAATGTTGTTTTGTACTCATATTTGTTGCCTTGAATAATGATCAGTATCATGTATACTGTGAATAATTTCTCCTCGATGCTTGAGTTAGGTTTCCAAACCACTTGCATCAACTCTCCAACTTTGAGCAATTTCAGTCAGTTATCTGGTAATAATCCATTTAACAGAGATGATACTACTTTGCAATTTGGTGAAAACTGGAATGAACATTCAAAAATATTGAAACCTAGTGAGGCAGTGTGGCTCGTGTTCAATAAGGAACGATGAACGTATTAACATGATAATCGTTACATTGGGAAGCCTGTTGCAGAATATTCAATTTTTTCTTCTAAACTTAGATTTTTCTTGATATGCACACATTATGATGATAATACTATCAAATTGAAAAGTTGTACCAACATTAGATTAGAATTCTTTTGGGTGGTTGAGTGTACTCAAATATTTGAACAACAGGAAGTAACATCTAATTATTCAACGAGAGCTTAGGTTTCAATTCTTTCCAAAATGCTGGACTACACAGCATGCTCTTCAAAATGATACACATATCACTCAATAGCACAGCAACCAATTCATATTATTAATACATGAACTTTTCTACAAAAAAATTAAGCAATTATCTTCAATAGCATCATCCAGTTCACCATCACCGCACAGCTTACTGATCTGTATTGGCTTGCAGTACAACAACACCTTAACTCTGAAATATTTGTTGTTAGGTTCAAATTTCTTCATGTACCTTGCCCTTTCTCATCTCTGTAAACTCCTCCAGCCCTAAAACTCATATCTGCACTCATCCAGTCTGGCATCTTTTGCATCCATGATTTTAATAGCTCTGTGGGTAGTTATGCCTTCAGCTGCTGAGGCCTTAGCTCTGGATAAAAACAAACAGCTGCTGATACTGGAAATCAGAAACAAAAACAGATATTGCTAGAGAAACTCAGCAGGTCTGACAGCATTGAGAGAAAGAAAGCAGATTCAAATTTTTGAGAGTCCAGGGTCCAAAGTTCTCAAGATGGGTCACTGGACTTGAAATGTTGATTCTGCTTTCTCTCCACAGATGCTATCAGACCTGTTGAGCTTCTCCTGCCAATTCTGTTTTTGTTGCCTAAGCCTTGGAGCTTCCTTCCTAAACATCTAAGCAAGTTTAGTTTTCATTGTTTCTATAAGTACCTTAAAGGAGCACAAATTGGTTGTTGTTCACAAATTATATATTAATTCCAAGACAGAAATAAAATCATGAATTGATTGATTTGGAGGTGATCCCAGTAACAAATGCCAGTATAATTACCATACAAGTAAGTGTACTATAAGTACTATACTGGAATGAATAATATAACTAAGAAGAAGAATATGAGTTGCTTTCCTGTTGCCTTCCTCACATGTGCTTAAAGGAAGTACAATTCTTCTTCCTGGAGGATCCTTCATTTGTGAGTAGCCACTGTCCCTTGATATTTTGACACTTCCAATGTTACCACTGAAAATCCATGGGTTCCAATTCTGGTCATTGTTGATAACCTTGAATTTGGAACTTTTACACGGACCTAGGCAGATTCAGAAAGGGCAGAGACAACCATTACCCCAACGTCTCAAATGATCGCAATATCCTGACTTGCTATATGTGGCCTGCAGTAATCAATTTCTAACAGCATGTTCTTTCTTGCATTCCTGCAATAAATGATTTTTTTTTTCATGGGATGTGGCGAAAGACAGTGCTTGTTGCCTATTTCTAATGGCCCTTGAGAAGGAGTAGACTGCTTTTTTTAATCAATAATCAATAATGTTACTCTGGGTCTGGAGTCATCCTAAGGATGGTTGACGTACTTTCTAAATGAACCAGATGGAATTTTATGAAAATTGACAATAGTTTCACTATCACCATTACTGAAACAAGATTTCAACTTTGGATTAATTAACTGAACTGATTAATATTGAAATTCAATTTCCACCAGCTACCATGGTACAATTTGAATTAAAGTCTTAAAAGCATTAATCCGACCTACAAGTCCTTGTTTGGCCACAGCTTTCAAATCTTCTGTCAACTGTACAATTGGAAAAGAAACCAAAAACAGAAAATATTTTAACTATATTAATATCAACTGGGTTTCTAACAAATATGAGGGGTGTGGTTGCATGCTGCGCTGTGTTGAGGCAATTCCTTTTTAAGGGTAGCATGATGGCTCAGTGGTTAGCACTGCTGCTTCACAGTGCCAAGGACCCAGGTTTGACACTAGCCTCAGGTGGCTGTCCATGTAGAGTTTACATGTTCTCCCTCTGTCTGTGTGGGTCTCTGCCTGCTGCTCTCGTTTCCTCCCACAAACCAAAGATGTGCAGGTTAGGTGGATTGGCTATGCTAAATTGCACTGTAGTGTGCTAGATGGGTTAGACATGGTAAATGTGGGATTAGGGTGGGATGCTCTTTGGAGGGTCAGTGCAGACTCAATGGGCCAAATGACCTCTATATGCCCTGTAGGGATTCTAACTAAATTATATTGATGGTGGCTAGAGTGGCTTGAGTTTGAGGCTCAGCTGAGGGTTGACCAAGACTTGAGGGTTGGGTTCAGCCAACTAGGCATCTAGGAGTGATAAATATGCTTTAAAATTTCCAAACGAAGTTACTAAGGAACCCACATTACTTCTTTCTGTTTGTCTTATACAAGAAACAACTTTCTTTCCATAAGGGCACAACCCATTTATTTAAACCTTAAGAATTAGGCTGTTTAGAGCTAAAGGCTCACAAGTTTGCTCAAGAATTTTGAATACTGTTGAAATTTAAACAATTTAAAATGTATAGCTTCCCACCACGGTCTTGAAAAAGTGCAAGAACCCACAGCTCTGTCTTGGAGTTTCATTCAGTTGGGATCTGTTTTAAGATAAATGACCAGTATTAAATATTGTGTATTTAAAGAAGCACCAAACTTTTAGTGTCCTGCAAGTACTGAAGTAAAGAGCTAGCTTTCATCAGAAATGTAACACCATGGAACAGTTAATATCAGGCTAACCTGTACAAACAAATGCCTGCACTGAAGCTTTTGTTTCTCCCCTGTCTAGACAACTTATAAATTGTATTAGGATGTATATACTTTTCTTACAACAGAGCTTAACAACCAGCTGTTTATATAGCAGACAGACATTTAAAAGTTCATGCAATATGATCAAATTTTACAATTATTGTCAATGAAAGTGTGGCACCATCTTTTAAAAACTGTTATTGGCAAATCTATTAACATGTTCCTCAACTATTATTCCAGATTGTAAATCACATACTCTTAACTATTAACTTTACTTAGACACCTCTGAAAAATCTTTTGTTTTCTCTTCAGATTCTCTCTGTTCTCATCAATTGGGTTGGGAAGCTTCCAAATTTTGTCACTGGTGATTTGTGACTAATCACTAGGAGATGCAAAAAGGCAGTCTGGGATCGTGCTTGTTAACTTCCCCCTTCCCGAATAACTTGTAATAAAGGCATTTGAAAATCAGAGTCTACCTGCCTCATCTGACATTAGTCAGCTAGCTTTGATTAAAAGTTAACACATTCAATTGCCTCTCCATGCCAACCAGTCAGCATCCTCTTCTCATAGAATCCCTACATTATGGAAACAGGCCCTTTGGCCCAACAAGGCAGAGCATCCCACCCAGACCATCCCCCTATAACACATCTCCAAACACGACAGGCAATTTAGCACAGCCAATCCATCTAGCCTGCACTGTGGATTGTGGGAGGAAACCCATGCAGACACGGGGAGAATATGCAAACTCCACACAGGCAGTCACCTGAGGGTGGAATTGAACCCAGGTCCCTGGTGCTGTGAGTCAGCAGTGCTAACCACTGGGCCACCATGCCATGTACTGTATAAATTGGGATTCCCCTTCAAAGTTTGGTTTCTTGAATCCTGGTCCTGATTTATGTAAGAATGTGTCTCTTTTTTAGTGATGTTTATTCACTCTAAAAAAATATACACTACTGTACTGCAAAAGTGACCACTTCCCAAAAACATTTCAAAGTCTACAAATGGAGGGAGCAGAGTTAAACGAATATTGGAGATCATTCAAAATCCCAGGGAAGTGATGATAGTATATAAACTGAAGATGTAAGTATAAGCCACCCAAAAAAAAAATCAAGACACATGCTTATTTGATCTATAGGATTTATTAACTTAATTTATAAAGTATCAAAGTCAACATTTGATCTGACACAAATTCATTACCTTTCTTTTCTACAGTGACAACTGTCATCACCTGGTTCCAAGCTCACATATCCTCATTTCTCTGTTGGAATTCCATTAATCCAATTTCTGCCCTTCAAACAGCAGCAAGGTGACTCTGGTTGTAGTCACCAAAATCCAATGTTGTTGTAAATATTGGCCACTATTCATCTCAGTGCACTATTTGTAATGGTGGACCTCCATGTTCCTCCATCATCACTCATCCTCGGTTGACCTCAAATGGACCATCCACGCGTAGCTCTGCTTCTACCTGCTCCAAGTCAGCCAGTATATCTCCAGAATGGTGAACTTATCCTCCCTGGACATTAATCCATAAAAAGCACTTGTGGTCTCTCATTTATATGTTGCCCCATAGGCATAAGGTTGATTTACTATATAACATCAACTTTCCATCAGTTCCTTTCACTCCACAGCCTCCTAGGGCATCCTAGATCAAATGTAGGGTCTACAGAATTTATAAGCAACATGTAGAATACAGGGTCTATTGATGTAGAAATCTTGGCAAAGTCTTGAAATTCAAACACAAGTTTCAATGTGGACTAGTGTTCACCTCTGGAATTCTGCAAAGAATTCTGCTCTGAAACAATTAATAACAGGTTTATTATCCAAGCAATTTTTGATTTACTAACTTACTTTGGCAACAATGGATCAAAGTAAAACTGGCAGGGCAGTGATGTAAAGTTTATTAACATGAGCACAGGGGAACATTCATAACTTCCTGAACATGAAATTTCCCATCTCAGTAGGGTTACTTGATTAGACACGAAGTGAATCAAAAGTGCTCCTGTGCAAGGAATAAGAGGTTCAAATAAAATATTCTATGAACCTAAACAATTCCCCAGTAACCAGCTACATAGAGACATGCTGGAGGAGGGCACTTACTTCTCTTTTGGTTAGAAAATAGAACAAAAACTAAACTTGAGTCATTGTGAATAAAGCCTAATCTTCTACTTTGTGTACAGTAAACAAAAAGATGAATTTGAGAGCTTCATCTAATGAATAAAAGCACTCATGAAAATAGCACTGAGCCGTACAAACGTTCAATTCCCAGTTTTTTCAGGATTTGTTGGTCTCAGCTGTGTTGGCAACAATTAAACTCAGGTGGCTCAGATAAGGGGAGGGGAAGAATCTGGCAAAGTTTGTTGTTTCTGATCATTATCCAATAATCCTACTCACTCCGGGTGCTCCAGTTTCATCCCACAGTCCAAAGGTGTGCAGGCTAGGTGGATTGGCCATGCTAAATTGCCTGTAGTGTTCAGGGATATGTAGATTAGGTGGGTTATAGGGGGATGGGTCTGGGTCCAATGCTCCAAGGGTCGGTGTGGACTTGTTGGGCCGAAGGGCCTGTTTCCACACTGTAGGGATTCTAGGAAAACTATTTTTGTGATCAGTGGATCAGCTATGATACCTTAAATACCTGAAGAGCCACCATTTTCTGATTATCGTTGTTCTCATGTTAATCAAAACTTATTCTCACTAAATGGGTTGAGCCCAATGTCAGAACATCACCAATTGAAAATCTAGGCTTCACTACATGTTGAGGTTCATTTTTGAAAAATTATACTTTGGTGGCTGAATGGGTGGATGGAACTATAGTTCAGCAAGATTTGTTGGATTTGTAACAGGTGTAAAAGTAAGAGGGGAAAAGTCAAATCATATCATAATTTCAGCATCAACATTTGATCTGCAAAACAACCTTAAAATAGCTTCAGACTAAGAAAGTAGGTCTTGGCTCAGCAGTGGAGGTGACTCACTCTATCATCCCTACTTCCTATCTAAAGTTATCAGCATTCAGTAATAAACACCCAGAAACAAACAACAAACTACAAGTCTATCTGAGCCTTTGCTTTAATCTTTTCCCTTCCCATCCACACACCATTCCCCCACTAACTCTCCACATACCCCGTCCAATCACACCTCCTATTGGGAATGATTACCCTTGGCCCAGAACTACCACCTTCCCAGCTGTTTAAATTTTTACCATCCCAATTCACCCCTTCTGCGTGGCTCCCATGAAAAGGTAAACAATCAAGTGTTGCAGCCCAGTGATCGGGCAGCAGACCTAAGGTAGAAGCCGTGTAATCATTAAAAATCTGCACTTCTTAGAACTTCCTTAAAGCCCTTACAATGGCCCTGGAGCTCCTCAGTCCTGGCCTCCCACCAATCATGGTGGAACACCAAACCCTAATCATCTGCAAAGCCTCCATCCACTAGCTGACAGGTTCCTATCTCTTGTTGCCATACCCACAGACCCACACACAACATTGATTGTATCCAATTTACCGCATGCAGACTACCTTTGCAACAAAAACAATTTGTATTTATATTGCATTTTAAAATAGAAAAATGTTTCAAGGCACTACAGAAAAATTATAGTCAGGCAGATATTGGTGCCAAACAAAAGAAGAGATTACTAGAAGAGGTATGTAAAGCTTAACAAAACAAAGAGAAAAGACATTTAGGAAGGATATGGATTAGGGTTTCAGCAGCAGATTGGCTGTGGCAAGGACAGACCTGGGTGACGTTACATGGTTGGAAAGACAGTCCGTGTTATGGAAAGGTTATAGGATCAGCGTCTCAACACAGAGTCAGATAGGAAGCTTGAAATATAATGCAGTGCAGTATGATCTTACATTGACCAAGTAGGGGATAGAATCAATAGCAAGGGTATGAAATTTGTTATAGGAGTCAAAGATGATGATTTTGCTCTTCTGAATGCTTAACTGGAAAATTATGCAGCTCATCCAGGGCTGGACATCCAACTCTCAGGCTGACAACATGGAATGGTAAAATGTTCAAAAAACGTGGAGGAGAGATAAATCTTGGTGCCAATGCTTGACCCCATGTCTCTAACGATGTCATAGATGAGCAAGTGGAGGGAAAAATGGGTTAGAGCCCTCTGATATTCCAGAAGTGGCAGCATAGGAGAGAGGAAGAGGAGCGATTACTGCAGTTTGTCTAGCTTTGATTGTATTGAGGAAGGGAAACCAGGAAAGGTCAGTCCCACTTACTGGACAGGAAATCAAAGGAGAGGAATGTGGTCGACCTGTAAAAAAGTGGATGAAGAGGAATGTTACATCAAACCACAGAAGATTAATTTGTGACTCGAACATATGGACATAGATAAAACCATACAAATTAGGAAGGTTAGGCTATTCGGCCTCTCTATTCAGCTCCATCATTGAATAAGATCATGGCTGATCTAATTGAGATCTCAGTTTCACTTTCCTGCCTACTCCCTACACCGTTTAACTCTGTTGTTAATCAAGAATCTAATTCTGTTTTTAAAGTATTCAAGAGCTACCCTCCACTATTCTCTATGGAAGAAAATTTCACAAACTTGCAATCCTTAGAAATAATTATTCATCTCCCTCTTAAACCAGAAAGCATTAATTTTTAAACTGCCTTCTTGTTCTAATCTTTCGCACAAGATGAAATATTTTCAGCATCTACCTTGTCAAATTTCCCCAGGATCTTGTACAGTACATGTTTGAACAATATCACTTATCATTCTTCTAAATTAATACAGATCTAATGTGTCCAAACTTCCCTCAGAACATAAACCCTTCCTACCAGGAATCAGTTGAGTGAATATTCTCTGAACTGCTTCTCTACAAATGATGACTTTTCTTAAACAAGACCAAAACTGCACACAATTATGTAAATGTAGTCTCACGAATGCCCAGGACTGAATGGCGTTCTCCTCTTCCTATGCTCTTATGATCAAAGAAATTTAGGCTTTAGATTTTGGATATTAATTAGATTGCCTTGTTGTTTATCTGTACTCTGCTAAAGATATATTATTAATAGTACACTTTTAATTTTTGTTTAAGTTATAAACTTGGTGTCCAAGATCTGTTATTCGTAAAGTCTGGTGAGGAACAACTTATCAATTTTGAGGGTCATTGAATGTTTTAATTTTACAGTGTTAGCAATCCAGTGATAGTGAGGTTGATTTGGTTTGGATTATGGATGGCAAACATTTAATTTTGACCTAATAGGCACCTGCAAAGACAATCTGAGACAGGAGATGTTATGGAATCCAAGAGGGAAATGATTAATGGAGTAAACAGAGCAAGACAGAAGTCATCAAGATAATCCCCCCCTCAGCTGGAGGGGGTGGGGGAGATGGTTAAACAGAGAAAGGCAGAGTGGGGCAATTGGTGATGATGCCAGCAAGGAAGCAGTGGGAAACCTGATGGCCTTTGGAGAATGCTAAGAGAAGCACATAAAAAACTTTAATCCAGGAGAAGTCATACCCAATACAATTCTATTGAATAAACACTGGAAAGGAATTTAGGGAGAGGAATGTGGTCAACCTGTAAAGAGGTGAATGAAGAGGAATGATACATCAAACCAAAGAACATTAATTTGTGACTTGTTTTCAATAATTTGTATTCAATAAACATTAGAAAAATTAAAAACTCTGCACATAGCAGTTAATGGCGTCCCAGGATAAATGAAAAAAGGAGCAAGTGTACTATGTTGAATTCTCAACTGGCAATTATCAGATACATAAACCATCTTCCACTTGCACTTTTGTTTCCTGTTTGTGGATTTTATTTCATATGTTAATGACATCCCATGATTATAATGCGTAGTAATTACAAAAGGATATGGAGCCTTGCCTGAAAAAAATGGCCAGCTAAGACATTCAAGCAGGGTGCTGTCAATTAGGAAAACGGGAGGATCACAAATCAGTCTCCTATGCCTGACTTCAAAATTTACCCTCTTTTGATTCAGAACCCAGCCCAAAGAGCGATTGCTTGCAAAATGTTTTTTGCTATTTTCCCCCACCAAAAATGGTTTCATAAACTTGCAAGCTTTGATTCTAAAACCCCACTGATCCAATAAGTACACATGAAAACAACAGGCTACACAATATAAAAGCAATGGAAGCTGTTAAATGAAGAAAAACTCCATTCCAATGAAGGGCAATCACTCATTAACGAGTATGGTTATCTACCATGGGTTCTGTTGGTCCTTGAATGACTGATGAGCTGATCCTACAGCTGTACCTCCAATTACACATTTGGCAGGTGCTTCTGGAAGGTGGAATAGGCCCCTGGCCTTGAGATCACTGCCATTCCTTTCCCTGGTTCCTTCTCCATATCTCCTCTTCCTGATGGGTATTCTCAAAGAATTGTACCCCTTCACACAAGAGCTTCCTCCAAAGTTAGTTTCGTCCTAACAAGGGTTTCCCACATGTTGACATTAATGTTGCATTTCTTGAGTGAGGCTTTTGGGAAGTCTTTGAAACACCCACCACAATCCACTCCCTCCCTCCACCCCCCACCCCCGGCTCTCATTTGAGTTCCTTCCTTGAGCTGGGAGAAAAGGTTTGTTTTTGGAGTCGGAAGGCAGACATCCTAAGCATTTGGCTAGTGCAACAGAGCTGCTTTCAGATGATTACGGCCTCATTTAAAAACCAAAAGAACTGCGGATGCTGTAAATCAGGAACAAAAAGGTTTCTATTGCTTTCTAACTGATTAAGGATTCAAGAGGAGGCGGTCAGTGAGCCATTTTTAGGATTGATACCTTTCTGCTTATGAGTTCTGTGTCAGTATACCTCCTCTT